AATGGCCACAAGTTCTTTGCAGCCCTTCCAATTAGCTTGAATCTGTGCTGACATTAGGACTTGCTTTGACCCGTAGAAAGTGACAATATCTGGCTTCTGAGCTTTGGCTTCCAAAGGCCTTGCAGCTTCTACTCTCACACTCTGGACTTTCTGAACACGCCACCTTGTGAACAAGCCTATCGGCCTCAACTAGTTACTTGAGGGTGAGACCCAATCAGGAGTGTTCAACCCACGGCTATGCATGCCACCCAACCCCAAATTGTAAATTTACTTAAAACAGTATGAGTTTTTTTTTTGTGATTATGGTTGCAATGTATCTAATGTGTGGCCCAAGACAACTCTTCTTCCAGTGTATCCCAGAGACACTAAAAGGGTGGACGCCCCTGCTAGGTAGAGTGGCTAATGGAAAAAGGCCCAGCTGTTAACAACCATCTCAACTGAAGCCCCTGACATGGAGCGAGATCTCCAAATGCATGTCCTCAGCAGAACTATTAAGCTAAGCCCAGGTTACACTGCCAAACTAAAGAATGGGAGCAAATAATGTTCACTGAAAGTCACCAAGTTTTGGAGTGGTTCGTTACTCAGCAATAGACATGGATGCACGCTTAATCATGCCCTCAATCTAGTTAATGGAAAAGAAGCATTTCCAATTAAACGAGAACTGCCCAGAAGTGACTTGCTCCATGCCAAATGGGAGAGTTCATGGGTAAATGGGACTGTTAAGCATTATTTTCCTTTGTTGAACAGTTTCATTCAAGTTCCCATGCTGAAAACTTTCAACACATTTCTCAGAATTAGCTTTATGTAATAGCTTTATTCCATGAAAAAGACATTTTCCTTAGTGCTTCAATAAAACACACCTTTTATGTGCCCCTTTAAAGGAAAGTAGTCCCCATTTTTCTAATTTTCCATCCTGTTGAGTAACCATAGAGTTTAAAGTCAAAGGCAGTAAAAGAAGATAAATCTTTTTTTAGGCCAGATGTTAAAACTGGAGATAATAGAAAGTTTTTAATTAGAAAACCAGAATGCTCTTTTAGTCAAAGATGTTAAAAGGAACAGGAAACAGGATGAGTGCTACAGAAGTAGAAGACAAGGCCATTTAAACAGATTCAGAGCTAAACTAATTTTGTTTTTCAGGCTATGTGATTTGTGAGTGAATGGGGACCACTTGTTCTGATCCTATGTCACTGGTAGGGCCAGGGTTAAAAATCAGATTCTGTTCTCTGATAGTTTGGTGGTGTAATTCTTTAGATGCTTGCATTCCAGATTTCCTGTGTACCTTATTTACTATTTTCTTAATCAGAATTGTGGGTCAGGATCTCCACTCATGCTGTGATCTGTCCGTGGTACTTGGAAAAGCTCACTAGCAATGTGAAAAGCTTCCCAGAGAGCCATAAAAGCACAGTGAATTTATTTAGCTTATTTTTGTTCTTTTAAAAGATTTTATTATGCTAAGAGAGAAAAGAGATTGATGTGCAAGGTAGGTTGTCTCTCAGCGGCCCCCAACCAGGGACCTGGCTCACAACCCAGGCATGTACCCTGATGGGGAGTCAAACCAGTAATCTTTCAGTTTGCAGGATGATGCCCAACCCACTGAGCCACACCAGTCAGGGTAAACACAGTCAATTTAAAGCTACCTGAGATGGTAAGACAGCGTGAAAATCACACTGGGACATTTGTTTAGGTTTGGGTAGCATTGGTAAAGTAAGACTGCAAGGATGTAGCATCTCATACATTTCACCCCTCCCAGCTCTTAAATATTTTAAAGGTAGAATTGTATATGGTAGGAATCAAAGAAAGCTAGAAAGACAATTAAGTAGCAGTTACACAGAGTTAACAAGAAACTGTCATTTCTTTTGGAGGTCTTCAAGGTAAGTTATTGTGCTTTTTTTTTTTTTTTTTCCTGAGATAACATGTTTCCCTGCTGAGGTTGAAAAGTTCTGGTGCTTAGACTTATGATGGGCTTTAGTACATGGAGGAAGTATGTATAGTGATTAAATACATGGGTGCTGGTGGGCTAGTTCTGTATCCTGATTATGGTGGTGGTTAAATGAACCTATACCAATATTATAATCTGTAAAACTGTATATCAAAAGGTAAACAAGCCAGTTTCACTATATTATTAAAAAAACCCCACATGGGTGTTGGAGCTAGACTGATTGGGTTTGAATCAGGGCTCCATCACTTACTAGCTGTGTAACCCTGGACAAGTTGCTTGGGCATCAGTCTCCTCACCTGTAAATGCAGGTAACAGTTCTTCCTGCATGGGGTTGTTGTAAGGATTCATTTAATATACATACAGCACTCCAAATAGTGCCTGGCTCAGTGCAAGAGTTAGCTACTGTTACAGGACTGTAAAGAAATGATAAGGTACATGGGCTATTGTATGACTAGAGCAACTATGAGTAGTCTGAAACACACCTAACGTGGGGCACCACTGCCATTATGCAAGCAAGGAAGAAACTCAAGAAAAGTGTAAATTCTGCTAAGCATATTTAAGTCTGCTCTGTTGCTATTATCCAGGGAGGACATAAACTAATCAACCAACCAACCAACCAAACAAATTCCCTCATTCTTCTAATTCATTCTCCTAATTGAATGTCTATTTTCCAGGGACCTACTGAAAAGAAATTATCTTGGCAGTTTTTCACTTCCCAGATCACCTGATGACGTGTTCTCGAGCACATGTGTGTCTCTTTTTTGGGGGGGGGTGGCCTCAGTTTTCTTAAATTTACTGTAGCTATAGGCCAAAGGTACTGATGATGTCTGTGATTAAGCATCATACCTACTGAATCTATCAATAATAATGTTAAGTCCCAGTACATTCTTCTACTAGGTTCATTACCCAGAAGATAAATTCTGAGAATTATTTGGGAAGTAAAAGGAAGCTTTAGAAAAACAGAGTTTCAAGCCATGGGTGTTTTAAGGATGGTCTAAGCATAGACTTAGAAATATTCAGAGAGTGAAATTCCTTGACTAAATGGATGCTCTTTGACAGGAAGGGGACAAGTGAGGCATCATTTCTATATGATGTTCAAGTACTAATCTTGAACCAGTCCCTTGCCACTACAGGTCACTAATGGGGCAGACAACAATGACAGACATTAAGAGCCCGCAGAGGTGCTATCTATTCAATTCACATGACTCTGGAGTCTTGTTTTTAATGTTTAAGCATTACTCTTTGACAGTTGAGGGAAAACAATCCCCCTGGGAGGAGGAAAGCAGCCAAGAGAAAATGGAACAGTCTGAGAAAGAATGGAAATGATTCTATTGCTCCATGAGGCAGAGCCAAGTGGGAGGGCAGCCAGGGTAAATGATCAGAGGCTGTCTACGAAACAGCTTGCCTCGGCGCTGGGTGCCTACCCAGTGAAGCAACAACAACCCTGCCATGGCCGGGACAGCTGAAGCTCCAAGTTAGTCATCTGCAGGAAATGTCTCGAGCTCCCTTTTGCAAGAAGTGTCTGAATGATCAAAACACACAAGCGCACAAGATTGCATCTGCACGCCACTTCTCCTTGGTCATGGGAAGTGTTGCAAGTAACATAAATGCAGACTCTGGGGAACTACACAGTAAAGCCCTGGTGATGGGTACAGCTTGCTGTTTATGGTGACTAAAAATACAAAGTGTGTTAAACTGAACTTCGTCTCAGCAACTTTGGAAAAAAATGGTGCTGTTTTAAAGAGAAAGAAGGTGTAACTTTTAAAAATAAAACCTAGTATCACATAGAAAGTAAAAAGCCCTTTAAGGGCACATGCTTTGTCTTTGTAGGTGTCATGAATACAAAAGAAGTGACATACCGACCACCACAAGGCTGTAGAGCCAAGTAAACAATCTAGTATAAACTTGCTTAATTGTTTTCTCACCATTCAGAACAACTTGTTCTGTGGAAGTGAGGGGGCTGTCCTGCCACTTAGCCATTAATTTGTCCTCTTTACCAGCTCCTGTAAGCTGCCATGTGTAACTGATTACTGATTCAAGGGAAGTCTTTATACTCAGATTAATGGAGTAAGGAGTGTCAGTAAACTAAGACTCAGAAACCAACTTTCTTAAAGCAAAACCCACTGTGGAACAGTTGAATAGGCCAGCAGTGATCCTGGGCTGCATTATGTTAGCAGAATATGAAGTAAATTAATACCAGAGCCTAGCAGAAGTCCTCGGCTGTCTAAGCATGCAGTGTCTTTTTTGTGAGAGAGGTGTTGGAACCACCCTTTCCTTGCTTTCCTGCTTTTTTACTGAGAATCGTAAAAGGTTAGGGCTGAGAAAAATCTGCCATTTCCTCACTTTATTGGTGAGAAAATGAAGACCCGAAGAAATGATTAATGTAACTAGGGAAACTGAAACTTAGTAAACTGCGCTGTTTAAAACTCCTAGCAAGGCACCTTGGAACATTTTTAGATATGCCTCAGTCAAGATGTATGAAACCGAAACATTGAATTTTAGAGGTAAAAGAGACCTGGGAATATAAGTGGTGAATGTTAAAACATGGAATCTTTGTTAGGCAAGAGGCCTAAAAGCCTACAGAGACTAGGGAGAGCTCTTCTTCCTAGAATATGTATTGAGAAGTTACTGGGGTACTGACAGCATCAGTTTTTAGGTTCTGTATTTTCTGTACAAATGCCAAGTTTACCATATTTCCTTCATTTTTTTTCTAAAGAGTAGGCCTAAGCTCCAAACTAGGAACAGCAGAGAAAAATATAGTGGCCACAATTTAACTTTGTAAAAATAATGGTACTTCATTGTCCATAATGAAAACCTGGAAATCAGTTACCAATTTGAAGTTGGGAAGCTACTGCCCTCTAGAGGGTGAGTTGAGAAACGTTAGCAGTACTGTTAGGTTGCCACAGTGACTGCCGGAGTGGGGGAGGGGCGACCGGCCTTTATTATCTGGGAAGAGGGACGCCCCGACACACTTAAGTGCAGTTTTAAACATAAAAAACTACCTTCCCCAATATGCCAATAGCATTCACTTTGAAGCACGATGAAAGCGAGATCTACAAAGTTTTTACAAGTTGCATTTATTCTAAGAGGACTTAGTGAGAAGGGGGGCTAGAGGGTACACATTGACAGAGAACAAAAGTTTATGCTGCCCAGGCTGAGTAGCTCAGTGGGCTAGAGTGTCTTCCGATCCTTTAAATAAATAGTGGAACACCAAATCGACGTTTCTCTCTCTCCCTTCCTTCTCTCTCTCTAAAATCAGTAAAATGAAATAAAACAATTCGAAGTACTTTATGTTAAACCTGAGTCTATAGGAACTTCTTGGACCTGACTGCATTTCAGGCCAGCTTATCCTGCTAGCACTTTTCTCAACTTATGGCAAGGCGCCTGGGACTTGACCTGCCAATTGCTCGTTGTATGTATTCATCTAGAAATAACAAAAGGTAAACATTTCTGATTGATGTAATGTTACACAGTGTATACAAATGTGAAAATGGTTAATTAAACTCTCTGGTAGTTGCAGAATAGACTATGGATGCTAACAAGATGTAACTTGAAACCTTTTTACCTAAAATTTCAAACACTTTTAACTCCTGTAAGGTAAACTTCTTTTTGTTCTCCAGTGTTCATTCTCCCCTTGTCTTAAGTGCTAAAGATCTGAAATGGTCCCTACTGGCCCCCCAATCTCCCAGCTTTTTGTGGGTGGGTCTGGCCATGTGACTGCTGACCAATGGACTGTGTGAAATGATGTATGCACCTTCAGGTTCTGCCCCTTCTTTTAAACGGGGAAGCTGCTTGCACTTCATCGCCTCGCCTCTCCCCCCTCACTGGGAAAGGATGGCCACTTGAGCAAACACCCGACTGGAGAGCGAAGCCATGGAATGTTCCACCAGCGGGAACCCTGGGCGACCACACGGTGCAGAGCCACCTACTCATGTCTCTCTTATTTGGAGAAATTGATTTCCTGCCACTTTTTCATAGGCCAATCGCTAAACTGTCCTCTCAAGTAGACTGCAAATAAGAAATGACATCTGTTCTCAATAAAAAAAGACAGTAGTGAGGCACTTGAATGTAGCAGAACTCCTTTTTAGGTATACAAATATTTGGGTCACACATATGTACACACCCTACAAGAAAACTTGTATTTACAAACTGAGTACATTACAAATATGCACAGTTCTGAGCAGTAACAAATTTAGCTTTGTAGTTTAGCTAAAATATTCAGCACGAGCAAGGTCAGCTTTATATCTTCATCTGTTGTTTCTTCTTCTGCAGATTATACACCAGGGAAGGAAGCTTCTTGGTTTTATAGGCCACGCTCCTCTTGATGCGCTCTCCTTTGACGTTAACAATATGGGGCAAGAGGGGGGGCCGGACTGTCAGCGCTGTTCCTTGAGGTGTATAGCCTCGGAGATGTAGCCTGTCCTTAAGCTGAGGCGTTACAGCAACCCAACCTATGCAGGCATGTGACAGAACACAAATGGTATCAGCAACTCCCTGCCCCCCTCTCCCCACTACCACACATCGTGCAGCGGGGTTTCCCACAGTGGGGGAAATCACAGGGGTCAGCTCATCTGGAGTGCAGTGGATAAGCCTCGCCCTGGGAAAACCTCCTTCATGATCAGTGTCTCTCCTGCCAGGTACGTATGTTAGCAACTGTCTTACTGAAAACACTAAACCTGCCCTAGAAAGGTACATCAGTGGATTAAAGGGTTTTCCTGATATGCGAAGGCTGCAAGTTTGATCCCCAGTCAGGGCACATACAAAAATCAACCAATGGATACAGAAATAAATGGAACAACAAATTGATGTTTCTCTCCCTTTGCTCTTTCTCTTGCTCTAAAATTGATAAATAAAAAATTCTAAAAAAAAAAAAAGAAAACCACTGAATTAAAGCTTAAAATGGAGCACTGAAGAAGGCTACTGTTCTCCTTCATTCTATTTTTTAAAAGAGCATATGATGCATTTGTGAAAAGGTACAAATTTGTTTTCAGAGTAGGTTGCATTTATGAATAAACTAGTATATATACCTTAAAATACTCACCTTGTGTTGGTTAAGGCAGACTCCTACAAAAATATAAGAAGTCTACTTTATTCACCTTTAAAGAAGTGCCTGGTGTGAACTTACCTGCAGAGGAAAACTTGATGTCAGCCACTGCTTCAGATTCCCCAAGTCCTCCTTCTAAGGTAATGTCTTCAGCAACAAGAGGAGGAAATTCCGCCATTCGTTCTTTTCCACCCATTGGAACCTTCCATGGGGATAAAACGAAGATGTTTGGAAATGGAAATTCAAATTAAATTCCCCATAACTCTAATATTAATTAAAACACTGATAATTCCATATAGGGATCAAGAGTAAAATCCTTTTAATCATTAACTGTTGGAAAAACCCCAAAGCACTTCTGGGTCGAATGAGAAGCACAGCAAGCATTCAGTTCCCAGTGCCAGGGGCCACGTGTGGGCGGTAACCTCCTGATAGCAGAATCTTGCTTTATGAGTTTGCACTGTTTTTACAGCCCTCCATAAAGCCTTACACTGAGTACTGTTGGGCGATTAAAGGAACATCTTTCCAAATACCTTAGCTCTTATAAGCCTGGCATCCCACAAAGATTAACCCCTGCCTCACGACAAGCCAAGAATACATATATAAGATACAACTTCTATGTTTAAAGATGTTTCCATGAGTTGGAAGTGACTAGATAATAACTATTCATTAACAGATGTCTGTGTTTAGTACTAGGGACACAAAGATAGATTTTACAATATGGTCTCATCTCCTAGGAAGATCAGAAAGTGGAAATAACATGTAAACATATTAAGCAAGGAATGTGATGAGAGGCATATACTATGTGCTATGGCTGTGGAAGAAGAAGTAATGAATGGGTTTTGGTCAAGGAAAACATCAATGAAGAAGCAGTATCTCAGCAGTATTTTGAGAAGCAGGTAGAAGTTAGTGGAAAGTTATGCTGGGTTAGCATTCATGTATAGATACAAAACTGGAGAAGGGATGAGTTCAGGAACTGTAGTTTAACTGTCCAGGGTACGCTGTGTGTCTGTGCATTAGTGATGAGGCTATCAGTGCAAACTCCTCAGTAATGTGAAACTACCAAGGGATCATAAAGAGGAAAGAGAACAGAGATGACGACAACCACCACCACCAACACTGTGACCTGCTGTGTTTGTACTTGGGGAAGATCTCTGCAGTGCAGGGTTTTTGACCTCAGCACTGCTGACATTCTGGACTGAATGGATCTTTGTCAGGGGGTGGGGAGGCCATCCTGTGCAGTGTATGATTCTCAGCAGCATCCTTGGCATCTACACGGCACCTACCAAGCTGTAAAAGCCAAAAACGTCTCTAGTCATTGCCCAATGTCCTCTGGAGGCAAAGTTTGTGCTGGTTGAGAACCACTGCTCTTGTGGTGGGGGTAAAAACTGAGGAGGGCAGCAAAAACTGGAAGCTGAGAAAATATTTAAGGATCTCAAAAACAGCCTAATGAAAGCAGATCATAGCTTGAACTCCAGGGCTAGATTCAGAGAGAAACTGTTTATGCCACACTGGGAGAGAAGACTGGAATCGCTGCTTTGGAAAATGTCAGTGGGGTCCATCCCCAAAACTACACAGATACCTGGGGTAGAGCAACACAGAGTTCATGTTCCTGAGAGCCATGTCACATAAACTAAGGAAGTCTTGTTGCAGAAAAAGCAACAGATCCTATATTGCCAATTGCCTTTATGTCCCCACCCACTTGGCAAATCCTACAAGTCTCTGGAATATTAATTGTAGGGCAGTTCTTTCAATGGAGTTTTAGTTTCAGCCTAGCTTTCTTAGGAAATCCAGAGAGAAGTATTTGTATCTCAAGCCAGGTTAGTTTTTACCATCTTTGAAGGGCAGACGTATGTTTTGTGTTTTGACTTATTTTTGGTTGCATGAGCATGAATTAATGTTAAGCTACCTCTCACTGGATGTACCTGGTACTTCTGCAACTGTCACGTTCCAGCACCACCACAGACGCTCACACAGCACTTACTTAGCTCAGTGCGCTGACCTCCACCTCATGACATAGGTTCAACACAGAGAGGTAAAGGTGACTTTTGCCTAAAGTCACACAGCGTTGTTCAGTGGTGGAATGCAGTGGAATTTGATGGCAGTCTGGCTCCTGTGACCTTAACCATTTTACAATACTCACTAGCCAACAGTGTCTACAGCATGTCTTGCTAAGGAGCTGAAAGTAGTACCCACTCAGTCTTTGGCACATTTGGTAAGAACAATGTCAGTGGCACATAAGGGCCAAACAGGGGCTTCAGAGGAAGGGGCATGAGGAGCAGGAGTGATCTCGATTGTAAAGAAAAGAAATAAAGAGGACCCTGAGTTTTGTTTTTAGAGATGAAAGAAACCTTAACATATTTACAGGTTGAAGAAAGTAGCTCGTGGAACAGCGGACAAAAGGTGAGATGTAGTCTATAGGTATCTGGGATTAAGAAGCTGGGAAGAGAGTTTTTCTGCCCAGACTAGGGCTTCTCAGCACTGGCAGTATGACATTTTGGACCAGACAATTCTTTGTCGTGAGGGGCTATCCTGTGCCCTGTAGAATGTTTAGCATCACCCTGGACCTCCACCTATTAAGACGCCAGTAGCATCTCCCAGTTCTGAGAAAATCTGTCACTTCTCTTCACTCGGCGTTATCCAGTACAACTCTCTGCAGTGATGTGACTGCTGAGCCGTTGGAAAGTGGCTAGTGCAAATAATGAACAAAATGTGACATTTTATTTAATATTAAATTAATGAATTTAAACAGCCAAATGCAGCTACCACATTGGAAAGTACAGTCTAGAGAAAACATAGCTCCGTAGTTATTCTAGGGTCCGTCCAACATCCCCTTTTTCAATAGGGCCCACTTCACTTTACAGTCAGATCCTCAAGGAGAACAAGGTGAGGGGAGAGCCAGCTGACGGTATGACAGAGGGGGTTCTGCTTTCTTAGCAGAGCTGTGGGGTGTCTAGCATCATGGTGTATGTTAACCTAACTATGCAATCACCAAAATGTGTCACCTCACCTTGAGTAATGTGTGACCTGCATGCTTCTGGTATATAGCATCTGCCTTGTCCAAGGAAGTGATGTGCACAGGAAGGAAGTTGGAAGCCACAACTGTAAACCAAGCTGACTGACTTCCCTTCAGAAAGAAAGAAGTTATTTGGCACAATGAAACAGTTGCAAAAGCAGCACATTACATGATATAATTAAAAAAAAATCAAGCTCCCTTTGTAAGTACTGGCATGGCAGCTGTAATTAAACTATATTGATGCCCAAAAACAAGGGCACAATATGTTAGAAGCAGTGCATTTCCACAATTTATGTAAAACTATGATTCCTTACCTAGTCTTGTTTCATTTCATTTAAAGATACTTTTCTTAAAAAAAAAAAAAAAAAGGAAATACTGTCGCTTCAACTGTCTCTGGGTAAAGTTAGGTTTTAAAAAATTAACCTTCTGTGAGCTTTAAAGAAATATATAAGGGTTTAGGTGTGTAAGGCTAAATTTCCGAACAATTGTGGACAAACACAAAACCCAAGAAGTGTGCTGAAGCAACAGCCTGCAAGTAGCAAAAAGTGTTGTCGGACACGACCATGTTTTGTTTATCTTCTTCTCCTCACTTGGCAAGACGGGAGCAATTCTCCAGATAGTCTAACCCCCAGGATGATGCTATCTCAGAGAATTCCAGACAAAAACCACATATACAAAAGTATACAAATCCTGGGATGTAAAGAAATGTGGAATCTATTTAATGCATATTAAGCCTGTACTTAAAAGGTCTGACTGATGATTTCCATGGGGAACAATACCACGGGGTAGTGGAAGTATCTTTTCTTAATGCCAGCTGTATAGGGTACTCGACATACTAGTGAAGATAGGGTTTTAAGCCCTACTACTGTATTCTCCCCCCATTAATTTGTCCTAGGTTTTTACAATGGGCATTTTGAAAAGAAAACAAAAAGAATAGTACTCAGTGCTCCACATAGTCATGACCTAGTTATCAACATTTTCCCAGTGTTCATAAACCTGCTTCCCTAAAATAAATCCCAATACTAAGTCATTTTTTAATGGTACATACAGACTTCTCTTACCTGCAGGAAATCTATGCGGCCTATGGCACCCAAAAATAAAACCATTCCTGGTTTAAGCACAAAAGTTCTTGGAACAATGGCATGTGTTGGCAAAACAGTATTTACTTCTTTTTCTGTTAGAAGATTTAAAATCTGTGAAGCAAAGGGCAGATTTTATTTTTACAGAATTACTTTTATTGAAGATATACTGGATTTACCTGTAAGATAAAGTGATGAAAATATATTCCATATTTCACAATAAACCAAAATATGTTGAACTTCGTTGCACATAAAATTTATTCATTGTTTCTGTCTAAATGAATCAATTTACAAATGCTCTATGCTTGTTTCACAAGTTAATCTTGAGTAATGACAAAATATTTATAGAAGTATGAAACTTTCTTATGTCAGCAGCATCCCCCGAATGTCAAAATTGGCATGAGCTGAAAACACTGATGTTCCAGTCTCAAGATGGAAATATATGTCCTCACCATCAAAGCTTCTAGAGGGCAGCGGTTTTCAGTTAAAGGAGAGGCAATAAACTATCTTATATCCTAGTGGCCAGTGTGCCTGCATTAAATGCAAAATGGTCACAGCATTCTAGGATCAGGTAAAGAGCTTAAAGAACGCCTTCCTAAATTCTGGTCTTTAGTTTCCCTATTTCCCCCAAATACTCAACAAAAATGAGAAAGTTATGAATCCTTTGGCGTCTAAGGATGAAGAAGGATTAATAGATTAGAGAAAATAGAAACGAAAGTCAGAAAGTATAAGATTTTGGTAAGATCTAAGGAACTGACATCTGATTTAAAAAGGAAGAGAATAGAGAAGGTAAAAAAAGGGAAAACAAAATTTTTGTGAACTTGGCTCTTAAGAAAAATAATAAGAATGAAACTAGATCACCAACTTACACCACTATAAGAATAAAGTCAAAATGGAAAAAATTTAAACATGAGCTGTGACATCATAAAAGTCCTAGAGGAAAGGAAAACAGGCAGTAAAATTCAGACACCCCATGCAGCAATATTGTCGCCTGTGTATCCTCGCAGGGGCATCCAACCTTTTGGCGTCCCTGGGCCACACTGGAAGAGAAGAGTTGTCTTGGGCCACACATTAAATACACAAACACTAATGAAAACTGATGAGCAAAAAAAAAAAAGGTTTGAAATAAATTTACGATTTTGTGTTGGGCTGCATTCATAGCCATCCTGGGATCCATGTGTCCTATGTGCCACAGGTTGGGCACACTTGCCAGGGCAAGGGACATAAAGGAAAGACTAAACAAATAGGACTACATCAATATAAAAAGCTTCTGCACAGCCAAAGAAAACATCAAAAATGAAAAGGGAACCAAACATATGGGAAAACATTTTCCAATGACACCTGGGACAAGGGTTTGATCTCCAAAATATATAAAAAACTCATAGGACTCCACACCAGGAAGACAAACAATCCAATTAAAAAATGGGCAAAGGACCTGAACAGACACTTCTGCAAGGAGGACATACAGAAGGCCCAGAGGTATATGAAAGGATGCTCAGCATCATTAGCCATCAGAGAAATGCAAATTAAAACTGCAATGAGATATCACCTCACACTGGTCAGAATGGCTATCATTAACAAATCAACAAACAAGTGTTAGGATGCGGAGAAAAGGGAAACCTAGTGCACTGTTGGTGGGAATGCAGATGGGTGCAGCCACTGTGGAAAACAGCACAGAATTTCCTCAAAAAACTAAAAATAGAACTGCCTTTTGACCCAGTGATTCCAATGCTGGGATTCTACCCTAAGAATCCTGAAACACCAATCCAAAAGAACCTATGCACTCCAATGTTCATAACAGGACAATTGACAACAGCCAAGTGCTGGAACAGCTTAAGTGCCTATCAGTAAATGACTGGATCAAAAAACTGTGGTACATTTACATTTCAAACAAAATAGAACCAGAGGCATGGAAACAGGGAACACACTGACAGCAACTGGAGGGGTGAAGCGGGGAAAGAAGGGGTAGGGTCTACTCAATGAATGGGTATAAATGACCCATGGACAGGGACAACAGTGTCGGGACTGACTGTAGGGTATGGTGGGCGGGGCAGGAGAGACAGAGCAATGGGGAAAAATTAGGACAACTGTAATAGAACAATAAAAAAATAAAAAAGCATTAAAATGAAATATAATTCGTGTTGAAAACATAAAAAATAGAAAAATAGTAAGGAAATTATTATAATAACAATAAAAACATGTGATACCTAGAGAGGCTCACAAGAAAATACATAAGGGGGCTGCAAGTAGTTTTCCCCAGGACATGTGTTTGAAAAAGCACAGTAAAGAAACTGCGGTAAAGAAACCACCTTAACACTTTTTAGACCCTAATACTTCCATTTTACAACAGAATTTCTTGGTTTGGTTTGGGAAACACTGATTTAAGGCCTCAAATAAATATATCGATAATCTGACACTAGATGCAAACTATCTTAAAAATCTTGAAGACCCTTTATATCCAATATCTTGAGGTCTCATTCTTCTGGCTGGAATATTTAGCAAATTCTTGCCTTTCTGACTATCTGACAAGAGGGTATATATGACTAAAGTAACTGTTATCCCTGACCTAAGTCTAAAATGGGAAAATGAGTTGAAGTTAAGGTGATAGAACATTATTAGAAAACAGTCCAATTACTCTGAAGTTTTTGATTGCTAAGGAAGACCGGACATGGCACTAATTCTAGAAGGGAAAAAAAAAAGATTCATATGATTCTATGTTATGGGTCACTAAATAGAACACAATTCTGAGACTGGCACTCTAATCCCCATGAGACAAAGCAAGGAAAGCACTTAAGAAACCAATGTTGTTTCACAGGGAGATACAGAGACAATTAGGTGAATTACAGACTGGTCAGTAACCAGATTCAAAGGAAGCTGATTAATGGACCTGCGGTTAGGCTGTATTCTGGACGCACACTTGAGTCAATGAATGACTTGGATGATGATCGAAACTGCAAATAAAAAGTTGTGAGATTTAATGAGTATGCAGGATATAGGCTAAATTTAACAAGATTGAATGAAAGCTGTCCAGGAGATACTGCTATTGGATTAAAAAGGCACTAATCCTATTCTAAATTATTCTCGTAGGAGGGCACTTATACAAGAAATTTAGTTCTTAGTGTTATACTCCAAGAACAAAAACAAATTTGAAAACATCCTGCAAAGAACATATATGCGTGGCCCATGGTCATGGACAACCGTGTGTGGATCGCCTGAGGGCGTGGGAGTGGGTGGGTGGGTGGGTGGAGGGGGTACAAAGAGGGGAAAACTGGGACAATTGTAATCGCATAAACAATAAAACATAATTTAAAAACCCCACTAATTCTAATAAAGAATTGCCAGTAAAGAATGCTATATTTTAAAAGCAAAAGAAAAAAGAAGAAAACATTCCGAAAAGGACCTGGGTTGATGTATAGTCTGTCGCTCAGAGAGAACATGTGTACGAAATAAGAACAAATAATCTGGATTATGTTAGCATAGTAAGTACTCACTGTTTGCTGGATGAACTAATGAAAGAAAAAGGCAGGATGAGGGAGAGATAGGACACTATACTTTAAAATATTTCAAAATCTGACAAGAAAAATAGGTGTTACATTCATTCCACACAACTTTGAGAAACAATGAGTACAAGGTACAGGGAGACTGTTCAGCTCAATACAAAGAGCAGATGAAAACCAAACAGGTTACCTTGGGAGGCAAGGCATCACTGCTGCAGTTGATGAGTCACTCCTTACTTTTTAGTTCAGGCTGGATGCCCTCCGATGAACAGGTTATAGAGGGACTTCGAATGTGCATAGGCAGCTGGGCTGCAGTGCAATTTACGGTATACCGTTGTGTATGATGTGCACTTTTTTGCCCAGATTTTTGAGGGAAATATAAGGATGTGCATTATACATGGGTATAATGATCACGTACCATGGGTAAAATAATCCCATAGATAATGAACATAAAACTGTGGGTGCGCATTATCCACAGCAAAATATGGTATGCTTTCTTTCAACCTCAAAAATCTGATTCTATAAATGTCTCCCTGATTAAGGCAAGAAGCATAATAATAATGTAAGTAGGGTGTTAGCAGTGAAGCCCAACAAATGAAATACAGAACTTGATGGAATATAGTCATCCTTGAACCACTTCTATGAATGAGTCAAAACTGAGTCTAGAATGAAAGTGTACCTCTCTTCCTGTGTTCTATCTTAATAGGTAGACAGTATTTGTGTAGTTCAAAGTTGTTTCTAAAACACATCAAATACATACACAATTTTCCTTTGTAATTCCAGGGGTGTCATAAAACCAGTGGGCATCTTTCACATCTTGTGGGGTCAGATCTACTTTTTTGGTGGATTTATCTGCAGCTCTAACAGGTTCATTTTCCATGTCAAAGGCAAGCGAATCAGCATCAAACTCAAAGGGAGCTTCATCCTTCTGTTCTTCTGAATACACGAATGTTCTTCCAACTCTTCCTAGAACAAGTTATATTGAAGTTATTAGTCACTCCTTTAAAGCCTTTGACTCTAGACAGATAATTCTTATGTTTGTGTCAAATAAGTTACTAAGACTATGAGCTATGAAAGTGAGATACAATGATAATAGCTTTATGTATTTATTTTTTAAAAAAAGGCAGCAGGAGTCAGACTCTTGTAAGGATCAAGTGTGTGGCTGGCTGTGTATATCAGGCATGGGGGGAAGTATTGGAAATCAAACTGTTTTTAGTAAATGAAGGTTGAAAGGAAATACCAAAGAAAGGGGACCATCTGACGTAAAGCTGCTGCTTAGAGTCGACCACCTGCACTGGTCTGCAAGGAGTGGGGCTGCATCTCAGTGGGAATGCTTTTACTGCTGACACTGCCTAGGCGGGCAGTTACTATACGATTCCTTTCCTGGGTTTCCCCAAGTATCTACTTTCTCAATTTTCTCAGCACCATGAACTCTGGGTTTGCCTCTCAAGGGCCCTGATCTTCCAGAATGAGGAAAGTAGTCTGTCCCCGCAAAAACTGGCTAGCCCAGACAGCAGTATTTCAGGTTGCTTCACAAAGACTTTTAGCATAGAGGCCTCGCCAGTGTGACTCAGTTGGTTGCGGGCTGGCCCCATAGACCAAAAGGTCGCAGGTTCAATTCCAGTCAGGACACACAAGCCTAGGTTGTGGGGTTGGTCCTGATTGGACCGGAGGCGGCAAATCGATGTTTCTCTCCGTCTTCCCCTCTCTCTAAGGTCAGTGAGCATGTCCTCGTGTGACCCTCCCTCTCTCTCCCCATCCCTGCCCTTCTCTCTAAGGTCTGAGAGCATGTCTTCTGGTGAAGATTAAAAAAAAAAAAAAAGAAAAAGAATTTCAGTGTAGACCCCCTCAAGAGTTTTCCTGCAGGAGATGCTTACCTACTACATAACCATGCTTTTTTAAGAGATGAAGTTGATTTTGTTCTAGCTGACTAAGATCTTCTTCAGCTTCAGCTGCATATTTTTTAAGCCTTTTTTGCCTTTCAAACATTCTGTAAGGAGTTGGGTTGCAAATAGGGAACTTCAGTAGGTTTAATGTAGTACCTGAAATACCAAACAATGTATTTTAACAAAATTGCACAATGGAGTAAGGGGAGGACAAGTAACATTTTTCGAAGAGCTACACACTGTCTTTGGGTACTGTGATTTATTTTACTTAACCTTTATGACAACTCTCTACAAAACTACCCTTACTTCACATATGAGGAAATGGGTTCAGGGACTGGCTCACAGGCTCAACCAGGATGTGAATCCTAAATCTGCAGGCCTGATTCTTTTTATCTTCACCAAACTACCACTCTATATAAAAGAACTGCTGTGTATAATCCGAGCAAAGTCCAGGGCAGAGAACAGTGTACAAAACTAAGTTAAACACTGGTTTCAGAGAAACAAATGAGGTAGTTTTGCCACATGTTAAATAAAGACAGGGTCACAGAAGGACCCGATTTGCATCTTAAACCCCCAAAATTGACATTTCTTCTCAAGAAAGCTACATATCATACTGTGCCAGTGAATTATTACAATGTTAAATGTCTATAGTATACTGATCTCATGGGTAAACTTAAGATAGTGGAGGTAGGTTTAGAAAGTCAAAGGACATTCCAGGAAAACATACAGTAAAGCTAAAGGGAAACCTCCATGAGGGCAGGAACTGTTTTGTTGCCTGGCTTAGCTATCTCCAATGCCTCGAACCGTGACTGGAACACAGAACTGCTCCATAAATATTTCTATTATTATTCCAAGCACTAAGCTGACGCCGGAAGACTGGTGTGACCACAGTAGAGAGAACTGTTAAGGCGAAGGCTCCAAACGGTTCCTGACATCTCAGAAAACGAAAGGTTTTTAGTAAACACTTGATATACAATTGTGTGAAAACAAAAACAAAAACACGAAGGGGGCGGACCTCCTAAGGCTCACCAGGCCAGGAGGAGATAGTGGCTCGGTCAATAGCCTCAGATCCCTTGGCGATGCAGTAATCTGACTCCAGGAGCGTGTTGAAGAGAGTGGACTTGCCAGCGTTGGTAGCACCAACGAGGTAGACGTTGCCGCGATATCGCCAGGAACGCTGAAGCGCAGAGATCAACTCTTCCACTCCATAGCCAGTCTTGGCGCTGATAAGCCGCACGTCCCGGAGTACAGTACGGGACCTGGCCGAATGATCTGAATTCTCCTCCCCATCTGGTGGCCCGCCCCTGCCGGGGTGCAGTGGTCCTCTGTGGCCCGGGGATCGCAGGAGCCCGGCGCGGGCACAGTCTTCCCACAGCCGCTCCCGGAGCCGATGTAGGTAGCCGGGCGCGTCCTGGGGCAGTAGGTCCACCTTGTTCCCCAGCACGATCAGCTGCTTTGGGCCTACCAGCGCGGGCAGATCGGGAAGCAAGGCGTCAGGCAAATCGAGCAAGTCCACCATGTAAAGGACCAGGGCGGGCTCAGGCTGCCGCAGCGCAGCGCTCACCAACTCTAGGTACTGCTCGCGGCTCACCTGCAGGCGCAAGGCGCGCCGGTGGTGCACCAGTAGCCAGCACCGCTGGCACACGGTCCGCACAAGCCCGCCGTCGGCCTGCGCCGCGGCGCTAAGGAACTTCTCGCTGGGCAGGTAGCCGGGCACGCCAGGGTCCTGGCAGTGCAGCTCCGCCCCGCAGCCCGAGCAGTTCAGGCCGCTGGGCGGCACCGTCGGGTCAGGGTGTCCCACGACCCGGTGCACCCGGAGGCTGTCCCGTAGCTTCTGCTGCCGCCGCTCCTCTCGCTGCTGTTGCTTTTGTCGTTCCTCCTCTTCCTGACGCTGCCGCAGCTCCCGCAGCTGCTCTTCTAGAGCCGGTGCGGGCTCCGGCTCCGGGAAATACTCGGGAAATAAAAAACTCTCCTCCAAGTCATCCCTTCCTTTGTAAACCCCACTCGCCGTCGGGCCACGAGGAAGCCCAGGTCCCAGGCCCGCTGGGTGCTGGGAGGAGGTGGCGACCGCGCATCGTCTCTGGAAGAGCGGCTCTCGGAGGCCGTGGCGCACTACGGTGGGAGTGGACCTCCTAACTGAGGGCCAGAGGAGTCCAGCCGTCCAGCGTGCAGGAAGCATTGGGAACAAGGTGCCGGACAAAGAGGGTGGAGCCACGTGCGCGCACGCGCAATGGGGTCCGAGAGGCGCTTTAAACCGGAGACTAAAGCCCAGTACTTCTGAAAGCTATTTGTCAGCCGCCAAAAGTCGTCTTCCCCTCCCGAGTCTAATCCCGTAAATTCTCGCGATGAAGGCTCCGAGGTTTGAGAGTCCGCTTAACGCTGCGGCAAGCGGCAAAGGTGTCAGGACCTAGGTTGTGCCGCGTGTACTGAAAGGGCAAGTGAGGGTTTGTCACTTTCAGGCATCTTCAATACGCCAGTGCTGGCACAACCCGCCCTTAGCAGCGCTTTAAAAGCGTTGTTTCTTGTCTTTAAAGGCGCACAAACGAGAACATTAAATGCCGCGGACTCACGAGCCGCAACTAAAACTTTTTATTTATAAGTATTGGCTTTTTTTTTCAGATGTCATCGTTTGTGTAATACCGTTGGAAAGCAAAAAAAAAAAAAAAACCTTCCTTGGCTGGATCCGACTCTCGAACTGTAATAGTACCCGCAATCAGCGTTAAGAGGCGGTAGCCCACAATTTGCGCCTGCGCAATTCTAACCGCGATCAACCCTCGGCCTACCGTTCGCGCAGGCGCAGACCTTACGTTAGCTTCTTTGTGGGTGGCCTCTGGCGGAAGACGCAGAGTATTCTGGGAACGCCGGAGCCGGAAATCACTTTATCTCACGTTCCAGGTGCCGGTGGTCGCGGTGTATCTTTCTGTCTGCGATTTCAAGAGTTAGGAGTTCGGGAACCGTTTGCCAATATGTATGACGCAGACGAGGGTAGGTGGCCACTCAAAACACACCGCGGAGACCCATCTAAAGAGGGAAATGTGGGGAGCTGGACGAATTGAAGATTTGCGGCCTTCCCCCAATCCCGCCACGATAGTGTCCCCAGTCGTGTTCCCCCTTACTCCAGACCGGAATGAAGCCGGGATTGCGAGAGGTGGAGGGTGCAGGGAGTGGAGCAGTAATGTTCCCGATCAGAGTGATATTGTTCTCTCCTCTGCTTGCTCCTTGATGAATCAGTACTACCTTCCCGCATTTTAAAAAGCGTGCAGAACCATAAGACAAATTACTTTGTTTGGTCCTTTGAAGTAAAGGGCACTTTTATTTTTCGTTTCCCTTAAGGCCAGAGTTAGTGGATTTATTGAATGGTAGAGTTTTTGAGCGTCAGCCTGTGCGAGGCATTGAAGTAGGCTCTGGAAATACACCAGGGACAGAGAATGTAGTTGTGGCAGGGGGTGGGGATTGGTCTAGTTTGGCAATTCTTCATGCTGTCATATGTGAAAGTAAGTCGTCTTAAAAGATGACCGTTAAATTTTCTCTTTCCAAAAATGACGGTTAATTGGGCCAATCAATACGTTTTTATTTTTTCTTTTCACATATATGATTAGTCATATCTAGTGTATTTTCATTGTGCATTTTTAAAGCTCCCACTTCCATTCTCCACAGCTACTATTTCAAACTTCATTTTTTTCTATCTCTCAATCCCGTGGCCACCCTTCACATTTCTTTCTTTATGTCAGCTACTTCATGGAAAAAATAGAAAAACAAATGCTTAAACTCTGCTGTTTAAACTTTCCTGTCTCGTATCTGAGTCTAGAAATTTATTAGCATTATTACATTCTTAACTCCTATCAGTGGAAAAGAGATTAAAAAATTTTTTTTAGTTTTATCTTTCAAGTAGGTAATATATCTCACAGCCAGAATTTATTAAAGTGTCAGGTCTCTTTCTTGTTCACCAGCTGTTCAGTGTGAAGTCCCCCCACAGCAGGTAATTGCTGTTCTTCGATTCTTATCACTTCATAATTCTGCATGCATATTCAAGCAAATGGATTCAGTTTCCCTCCAGATGAACATTTACACTTCTCTGTATTTTAAATTTTTTGCTTTATGTACATCTAGATTTTCATATCAGTACATAGAGTGTCCTTCCCTCTCCCACCCCCACAGCTATCTAGTTTGAGTGGATACCATAACTGAAGTAGTGTCTTATTGATGGACATTTGGTGGATTTCCACTTTTTTTCTGGTTCAGACAGTGCTGGAATGAATAATCTTATACCTGTCATTTTGTCCAGGACAAGTGTGTCTGTAGGATAATTTCTAGATGTAGAATTGTCAGGTCAAATGATAACACACGTTTAACATTTTGTTAGGTGATGCCAAGTGACCATAGTGATTGCTTTAATTTGCCTTCTCATTGACATTGTATCATAATCCTATGGAAAAAAGAGTTACAAGTTATCCTGTTTATCAAGTTTGCTTCAGGATTGAGTTTACATTTCATTCCTGCCAGTATCCTTTGGTATCTTAGATATGCCTTCATCAGTTTTTAGATACTCCTTTTCTGAAAACTGATGGAGATTTAATGTCAAATATTAAATCTCTTGTCTGCAAGAAATAAATTAAGCTCTTTATTTTTTCCTTTTTCTTCTAACATTTTGCTTTTCTCCTTCCATAACCTCAAGCTTCTAAAAAGAATAGGCTATTCTTGTATCTGATACCCATTTTCAGGTTTTTCTCAATCCGCTGCAGTCTGATTATGCTCATGCCAACACATTAAAGAGCTTTTATTAAGAATATCAGTGATTTCTCAATTGATAAGTCAGGTAGACATTAAAAATTTTTTTGTATGTGTTTATTGGTTTGAGAAAGAGCGAGAAGATCAATTTGTTGTTCCACTTAGACATTCATTGGTTGCTTCTTGTATGTGCCCTGAGCAGGGATCTAAACCACAACCTTCGCATATTGGGGACAGTGCTCTAACCAACTAAGCCACCTGGCTAGCACTGACATTTTTAAACCTTACCCAAACCCTGTTGTATTCAACACTATTGATGACTTACCTCTGGAAACTCACTCCTGCCCTTTTGCCACACCACTGTCACTTAATTCTTATCTATGTGACTTTCCTTCTTTTCTCTTATACTGTTCACATTCTTCCTGGATGATTTCATTCATTCTCCATGACTTTAGTTACCATCAATATGTGGATGACTTCTGGAAATATATTTCCAGGCCATATGTTTTGTATGTCTAACTGCTGCTAGACAGTTTCACATGGTTGTCTCCCAGGTCCCTCAAACTTACTGCCCAAACTGAGCATTTTCTATTAGCAATCCTTCTTCCAAAGATGCTTCTGCCTGTGCTTTCCAACTCAGAGAATGGTATCACCTTCTTCTGTTGTGAAACCAGAGCCTAGGCCTCATTCTTAATTCCTCTCCTTCGCCCCTATATCTAATCAGTCATCAAGCCCCGGGGGTTCTCTCTCCTAACTATCTCAAACCTAGTCACTTCTTTGTCCCCTCTGCCACAGTTCTAATTCAGACCATCACCATCTCTTGCTTGGACTGTTTCCTCAGACTCCTTACTGTTTTGTGTGTGTCTAGTTTTCTTGCCTCTCCTATCCACTTTCTACAGGGTGGACATAGTGATTTTTCAGAAATGAAAATTTGATCTAGCTATATCCTTGCTTAAATCTTACACAAGTTCTTCAAAGCTCTGTTAGTGAACACCAAGCTCTTTGGCCACTCCTAACTTCATACTCTGTGTTTCAGCTACATTGGCCTTCTTTCATTTCTTGAATATCTTTCATTGTGGAGTCTTTTGCACCATTTATATTTTCTGTTTGGAATACTTCTCTATCCCTTTCACCTCCACCCTCTTCTTTTGCCTAATTTATTCCTGTTTATTCATACGTGAGGTCTGCCTAGCTCAGCTTTTGGGGAGTCTTTCCTAACCTCCTCAGGTCCAGGTTAGGACTATTTATATCACTTTGTTCTTACTCAGATATCTCCTCGGTAGGTGATACCCTCTGTGAGGATGCAGCTCTTTTTTTTTTTATCTTGTTGCAGGTGGTGTCTCCAATGCCTGGGACATAGTAAGCAATCACATTCAATAAATATTTGAAGAATGGATGGATGAATGAGTAACTTTCATGGGGTTCATTTTCTTTCACATGGCTAACAGCAGTGTTCTCTAGTATTCTGCCTTCAGTCTTCCTTCTCTTTGGAAACTCTCTGTATCCTACAAACCCCATGTAGATGTTCTCGGCTTTTTGTAATTTATATCCCCCGAGTTTCATTTTATCTTTGGTTGCCTACTATAAGTATTTAAAGGGATACATGTTTTGTAAGTATACCTAAAGCCGACCTCATCATTTTCTTTCCTTTTCCCACCTTCTTACTTGCTTTTCCTGTGTGGCTTTGAAATTAACCTCTAATGATCAGAGTCTGTCATCAAAGCTAGAAATCTCTGAGTTATTTTAGATAGCTTTTTCTTACCCCTTGCCCCATGTGTAGTTATCAGTAATTCTAGTCTATTCAAGAACTTATTAAATAATTTATTTTGGATGTATATCAGATTTTGAATCCAGAGTTCTTAAGTTTTACAGACCATATATATGTGTGTGTGTGTGTGTGTGTGTGTGTGTGTGTGTGTGTGTCAGAATATAAAAACAAAAATACAGCACATTTATTTCTTAACATAAGATGAGAATAATATTAGATGATCAGTACACACTGGTTTTTTGAATGCTCTGTTGTTCAAATTACTATTGCTGCATAACTACTCCAAAATTTGGTTGCCTAAAAATTAATTTAATGTGTTCATGGATTTAAGTGGTCGGGAATTCGGATATATTGTAGTAGGAATGACTTATCTGCTCCACGTCAGTAGTTCACCTGGAAAGACTCAAAGACTGGGTGTTGACAGCTGGGGGATGCATGATCTGGAGTGTTTACTCCCGTGGCTGGCGTGCAGTTTAGGAGGGCTCAAGGACTAGGGTTGCAGACCGGCGTGTTGATAAGTAGCTTCTCCATATGATTGGGGCTCCCTCATGGTAGACAGTTTTAGAGTAGTAGGACTTCTTAATGGCAGTTCAGGGTTCCAAAATCAAGTGTTTCTACAAGCAAGGTGAAACAGCATTGCCTTTCCTGACTTAGCTTCTGAAGTCATATAACGTTGCTTTAGCAGCATTGTCTTAGTTATGGGGGAATAAAAAACCTGCCTAGATTCAAAGGAAGGAAATGTAGACCCCTGTGTCTTGATGGTAGGAAATTCAAGATCACAAGTAAAAAGGCTTGTGAAATATAAGATGTAGTTGGAAAATACCATCTGTACATACATGTA